TCACATTCTTAAAGAATCAAAAAATACATTCTTATCCAGACAGTGGAATATTTTAGGATTAAAAAGAAAAGAAATGACCCTGACTGTGTGTAAATTAACTAAAGAAGCCAGATGAATGAGAAGGCTGCATATTATTTCATTCCAACCGGTGGACATTCTGGACAAATAATGAAGACATCCAAAAGATCAGTGGTGTCCAGGAGTTGAGGGATGAGAAGGTGGAGCACTCAGGACTGTCAGGACAGGGAGATGAAGCTGTCTGTTTGTGGAACCCCACACTGTGTTTAATGCTTACAGCAAGCCCTAATTGTAAACTATGGGCTGTGGTGAAAATATTGTCTCAATGGAAGATCACCAGGTGCCAGAAAGGGGTGTCTTTTAAAACTGGAATGGTTTATATTAATTTTTTCTGTGTTTGTGTATAGATGGGGGCATGGGGGGTCAGTGGGCAGCCTGTGAGTGTTGGGTCTTTCTACTGTGTGGGTTCTGGGATTGAACTGGGGTCCTCAGGCTTGGTGGCAAGCACCTTTATCCACTAAGCCATCTTACTGGCCTCAAAATGTGGGTCTTGACTGGGGAATTGCTAGTGGTGGGGGGCCCTGGGGGATGGGGCAGGAGTCTTAAGGGAGCTGCTTCTGTTCAGCTTTGCTATGAACCTAAAACCATTCTACAAAATGAAGTTTATCTTTTATTATTTTATTATATTATTTTATAATGTTATTAAAGTCGGAGTGAAGAACAATAAGGCAGTCGAGCTGCAGATCTGGCAGTTGCTGGGAGCGGGGGAGATGGGGGAAGATATGTCTCTTAAGTTAGACTTGGAGGCCAGAGAAACAGTGAGAAAGCCCAGAGTGTTTGAGAAATCATGTTTAGGAGTTCCAAGCCAAGGATCTGAGTTGAAAGGATACCCAGTTCTAGACTCTTGTATCCCAGGACAAAGGATTGCACCAGCGATTAGAAATAGAAACATAGGCAGCTTGTTTAAGAAAGGGAAGGCAAGAATGTGAGAGGGCAGTGAGCTGAGGATAGAGAGCCCCCAAGCACTGGAGCCATCGAGCCCACGACCCTTCACAAGACATTTACCTAACGCCTGCCTCACCCGTTTGTGTGACTTGAGCCTATTTTTAAATATGGGCTTTTACTTTCAAATAACCTTGGGGAGTCTGTAGGTGGGACTGTGGTCCACACAGGCCATTTTGCTATATTCCTCCATGCATCACGTCTCTGCCTTTCCTGTCTGCCTCTTCCTGGTGAGGACACTGGTAGGCTCAGCGCAGATGTCAGTCCATGGTGAGAGCTTCCTCAGAGCTATCTTGTTATTTGGAAAGCTCTTATCTCCAAAGCTTTTTCATCCCTGCTCTTTAAGGCAGCGGCCTCTTGGGTAGAAACAATTGTGGTAAGGAGTCATCTATGATTTATGGCTTTCTCACCAGCACACGGTTCTTTCATCTCAAGGGGGATGGCCTGGAAAGCAGGGGGAGGGAGGATGGAGAAGAAGGTCTGTGCGGCACAGGATAAGAGTGAAGCTCCTTCGATTCCAAAGCCCCACACACAGCATCTTACCGAACCTTTCAGCAGCCCTTTCTCTGTCATGGCATCTGTGGGAGCCCAGCTGGGAGACCCACATTTTACCCCAAGGTATTCTTGAGGAGTGAGGGGAAAGAGATTTAGATAGAAGGATAGAGGGGAGAGAAACAGAAACACAGCATAACCTCGAGAGGGCCTGGGTCCTTATTCATCAGCCACTTCTGTCTCTTCTAAAGGGCTATTTATAGGAATACCAAGGGGTGGAGCAAAGACCTCCCCTTAGTTCAGCCAAGTGTAGACATTTCCCATCACCTAGAAACCATGCCCATGGTCAAGCCATCCTCTAATGTGGCCCTGCTGGGTAAAGCAAGGTCAGATTTCACTAGGAAACCTCTGTGGGCCTGCACCACACGCACCCCCATTTCACAATGAGGAAATACAGCCTCCTGGAGTCGAAAGGCTCACCCCAGTCACTGCTCCTGACACCACTGCGGAACATCCGATTGAGTGTAGCAGGTACAGAGCTGAGGTACTAGTCTATGTTGAGTTGGGGACATGGTAGCTTAGAGGGTTCAGCTTTTGCTTCTAGGCTCTTGAGCATGCAGGGGTGGGGATGGGGATGTGGAGTCAGTGGGGGTTCCAGAGCCCTGACTTCCGCATGACTATTTCTTCAGCATGGGTCTGGATCTCCTCACTCAGTTCCTGCCCCTCTCACAGAGAGCTGGGCTAGCAGGTGCAGGTGTGAGTTCTCGAGGCTTAGGCCACGGCCATTTCTCTGTGCCCTTGGCTGGGAGGGTGTGTGTCTTCTTTCTCCTGGTGTAGACCTGCCTTCCTCTAGCATCTGTTGGCCTTGCAGGAGCCCGGTGAGGTCTGTTACTTTTCCAGCCTCAGTGTGTCTATCTGTGAACCGGGCTGGTGGGTGTCTAACCAGCCTACCTCAGGCTTGCCTCAGAGCTCTATCAGGAGGCTACACTCTGTGCCCTCCCTTATCCTGACCCTGCAGAGAATAAGCCACCTGCTAGGGATATTTTCAGACACAGCTTAATTAAATAAATCATGACGGGAAATAGACAGCATTCTGACAGTTCCCCGGCACCCGGCTCCTTGGAAGGCCTGGAGCTGGTTTCTGAGAGGGCTGGGGAGGTTGTAGGCTCTGTGCCAGGCCCTTCCCTGTCTGCCTGGCTAAACCCAGCTCCAGACCAAGGCTTCCTTCTCTCCCCAGGAGGAGCCTGGCTCCCCTGCTGTGGGAAGCTGTCCCCATTTGCTGCCACCTTTGAGCAGCTCTGGGTTTCTTCTGCATCTTGGTGTGCTGATGCGGTGCCCATTTTTAAAGAACATTACATTAGTTGGGTTCCTGCCTGGAATAGGGTGTGTTGGAGGCCTGAGGGATGAGCTTTTTGACTTTACGGCAGGAACACACTTGTGAAGGAAAGTATGTACCCGTGATAAGATCAGTGCCTGCTGCTGGGAAGAGGGAACCTCGGGCCAGTTGGGGAGATGGAGAGAGGCCCGGGGCCTTCGCCATGTCTCTCTTTTCCTCCCATTTCCTCCCCCTTCTCTGTTGGTCTTTCTCCAACAAGCTCTCCAGCACTAGCGTCTGTATCAGGCACCAGAGCACAGAAATGTTCTCATCTTAGCTGATAAGTTCCGATACGTAAGAGCTAATTCTCTTCGATTCTCTCTCTCTCTCTCTCTCTCTCTCTCTCTCACACACACACACACACACACACACACACACAGCCTTATGTCGTATATTCCAAGCCTACTTGGAACTCAAGGATGGCCTTGAATTTCTGACCTTCCCTTTACATACTGAGATTAAAGGCTTGTGCTATCATGCCTGGTTTACGTGTTGATCGGGTTTGAACCTAGCGCTTCACGTGTGCCAGGCAAGCATTCTTTGGTTGAACTACATCTACAGCCTCAATCACCATTGTGTTAGAGCTATATGGGAAGGATGAGACAAGAGTACGTGAACAGCGGCCTTGGAAGGTGGAGGCCGGTGGATCTGGACTTCAAGGTAAGTCCTTGGCTACAAAGCAAATTCTATACTTAAAACAACACACAACCCCACCTCTGATAAGCCTATGTGGTTCTAAAAGCCAGATAAGAATTCTTTGTTTCTTCTTTCCTTTCTTTCAAGTGTGTGCATGCTTGCGTGCATGCTGGCGTGCATGTCAGGCAGAGGACACCTTTCAGGAGGCGGTTTTCTCTTTCTACCATGAATTCCAGGGACTGAATTCAGGTCACTGGGTTTCACAGCCATCACTTTGACCTGCTCAGCTATCTTTCCATCCTAGATACACATTCTCATATGTTCCCACACTGACAGATGAGTCCACGTACCCTGTTTTGTTTTTTGTTTTTTTTAATCTTAAGGTGAGCTGGTTTAGATACTGTGTGAGTGCCTGTGTTAATCCACAATCTAGTACTGTGAAAAGATATCTGATACAGCTACATTATAAAGAAGAAACAGCTATCCTTTGTTGATAATTTCAGTTTTTGGTTCACGATCCTCAGCTCCGTTGCTCTAGGCCTGTGGGAGCAGAGTACATCATGGCGGGAAGCATATGGGGTAGGGGTGAGAAGGGGTGGGGTAGGGGTGGATTCTGTTCATCTCATGGCAGAGGAGAAATTGCCAAGGTCCCCATATCCCCTCCAAGAGCACAGCCCTCCAGTGACCTAACCTCCTGACTAGGCTCTCCCAGCTGAAAGTTCTAGCACCTCCTGATAGTGTCACAGACTGGGGACTGCGTCTTCAGCACAGTAGCTCCTGGGACCATTTGAAATCTAAACCATCACAGTGTTACAATTTATGAAGTGTTCCTAAAAAGGCAGGTGTGTTGAAGGCTTGGACCCCAGTTGGTGGCCTTAGAGGGAGATGATGGGATCCTGAGGCCATTGCCCACAGATGAGTTCCCACTGAATGACTGATAGGAGCCCCCTGATTGGAGAAGTCACTGAGCATGTGCCTTTGAAGGGCATATCTTGTCCATGTCCATTTCTGTCTGTCAGTCTTTCTGCTTCCTGGCTGCCACAAGGCCAGCAGTTTTCCTCTGTTGTATTCTTCAGCCGTGATGTTTCTGCCGGGCCACGGGCCTAGAGCAATGGAGCTAGCTGATCGTAGACACCTCTGAAGCTGTGAGCCAAGATTAAGGGGGCTGGAGAGATGGCTCAGTGATTAAGAGCCTTGATTGCTCTTTGGGAGGACCGGGGTTCAATTCCTAGCACCCGCATGGCAGCCCACAACTGTCTGTAACTCCACTTCTAGAGAACCAGACTCCCATGGCAAAACACCAGGGCACATAAAATTTTAAAAAAATTAACTAAAAAAAGATTAAAAATTTTATTATTATTGTTTATTGTGCATATAATGTTGGTCCTGTGAGTGCGCGCGCGCGCGCGCGCGCACACACACACACACACACACACACACACACCAAGGCTCACTCTCAAAAATCAGTTCTCTCCTTCCACTATGGGGTCTGAAGAGTGATACCAGATCACCAGGTTAGTACAGCCAGCGCTTTTACCCACTGAGTCATTTTGCCAGCCCCAGAAGAAAAGTACTGTGCTGGGACCTCGTTCTCCAGGGTCCCAGTTTCCAGAACCGTGAGAAATAAGATTCTTCTGTTCACACACGCACACACACACACACACATGCACGTACACACACACTGTGTGGTTATGATGGTACATGTGCTTTGTTTTCTGTGGCTGAACCTGTGCCATGGCAAGTCCCTTGATCTCAAGAGCTTGACCAATTATGAGTTCATTAGGAGACTGCCCATTACAAAAAGAAATCTTGTTCCACAATCAACCAAGGCTCTTAACAGGCATCTGTGGGTGGAAACACAGCCACAACGCTTAGAAGGCAATTTGACAGGCTGTCGGACAGAAATAGGACTGAGACTGAACATCTACGTGACAAATGACAGCAGTGACCTCCCACCGGGACTTATGACCTCTTTAAGCCATGGTATTTTGTCCTGGCTCATGGTACCAGATGTGAGTCCCCAATCCCCAGAGTAGGCTGGACTCCAACCCAAACTGCACCTATAACAATTGTGCCACATTTACATCAGTAGGCACATCTTGGTACTGAAGCATGCGGTGTCCATAGTTGTTGGTGACAGTTCTCTCCCTGAAGTTCACACAGTGTCTTAGGACACTGTGAACCCAGCCAGCAGTAAGGGAGGTTCTGGTTTCTTCCCAGTCCAATTTCTCTATGTCTTATCGTCAAAACATCCAGTGTCTTTGGCGATGGGATCTTACCATCTAGTTTTAGCGTGAGACCAGCCACAGTGGCAATAGCTTGTATGGTATGGGAGATCCAGGGTCTTTTTGGCTAACAGCTCCTGGTGAGGTTAGCCTCCCCTTGGCACTGGGATTTTCAATAGAGAACTATGTGGCTTCTGGGCATGCCCTTCCTGCTCATACGGGGTAATTTCACTTACATTCCATAATCATTAGCTTGGCTGTTCTTCCAGATGTTTTTACAAGCCTGCAAGACACTCAAGGGTTAACATTGTACAAAGAAGCCTTTTTACAGAGAGTGGGTAGGATCTGAGGCCTATCATCATCCATTCTAAGTGCCTGCCAGTTGGTCACAAGCAGCTAGGGGGATACAAAAAGAGAGAGTGAGGTTCAATTCAGTGCAAAATGGTCTCATTCCTTGTATGAGTTGTTTTTGTCAAAGGGCAATGTTTGGTCCAGCAGCATTGGTGGAGGAGGCTACCCCATGTGGTTCTTCACAATCCACGGTCATTTCTGTGAGCTCTCCTTCCTTCTTTATCTTCCTTAGCCTGCCTGGGCCTCTGCAGAGCTGCCCACCCGTGACAGTTTTAGTAGGGCCGGCTTGCACTGCTTGGCCTGCCTCAGGCTTAATAAGAAGCAGGTCATGCTCTAGCCTGCCCTGCCTGCTTCTGGAGTCACCTCCCCAGTTCTGGTAGGCTCTGGGTCAGCACTGTGGGCCTAGACTTTCCACTGGATACACTTGGCTGCTTAAAGGGCCCCGGGGCTAGGTGAGCAATCTTTACTCCTAGTGTAGGGAGAGAAATGCACACAGCATACTCTGGGGGAATAAATGTCTGCACCTAGGTGGAGCTTAATCTTTACTTGCAAGTTGTTCCCGAGGCTTAGAGTTTTCCAGAAACTATCATAACATTTGGCTTTCTGTTAATTTTTTTCCAGGAACTCGAGTTTGCCACGTTTGCCTTTGAGCTGCCCAGACATCCTTTTGTCTGCCTTTTCCCCCCTCTCGATTGCTTCAGCACTTTGCAGATGCAATTGACAAGCTGGTCTACGTTACTCAGGTCTGCCAAAGCCTCTCCTGCCTCCTAAAGATCACATCTCAACCCAGGGCTCAACACAGCCACTTAAAGCCCCAGACCAGTCCCGTGGAGCCTACTGAATCTACCACCCTCTTTCTTAATTCTCCCACGAACACCGTCCTGTCTGGTCTGGTGAACCGAGGGTCACACACGGCCCCTCTCACTTTCAGTTCCTTCAGTAAAACTTGCCATTCCTCTTTTGTCTTTCAGGTCGGCTATTCATAGACAGCTGAACAAAGGACCATCAGGCATCCTTAAAGCTCCCATGAGCCAGGCCACAGGGACTGCTAGCCCTCTTACTGCCTCAGGACATCAGCTTCGGCACTCAGTCTGACCTTGCCCACCCTCACGGGCCGCAACCACCATCAGGGTGTCAGAGGCTCTTCCTTTGCTTCCTCAAGTCATTCCCTGTTCAATTGGTTCAGATGCTGCGTGTCCCCTGATCGTCACACTGTCTCGTAGTAGACCATTATTAAGGCCCCCGACTGCATGTCAAACCATGGATTTCCCTATGTCTGTATTAAAAGCTGGACCTGAAGGGCATCTTCTATCATGTCTGCCCTCCTTCCTACCTCTTCACTGTCCAGTTCTCCCCTTGAGTCCCAAGTCTTCGGATCCAGGCAGGGCTGTTGAGCGCAGATCTCATTCATCTGTGCTCTCATTTCCTCGCCTCTTGCCAACTGTATGAAGGGCAAGCCAACAGCTCCATCTCATCCCAGAAAAGGATTTCCTGCCAAACCAGAGCCTCATGCATCAGGCAGCATCCAGTGTCCTTTTTTGCCTTGTCATCCCGCCCTTGGGTGGGCAAGTTCTTTCTGGGGAGAGAGCTGAACTTGAGTTGCATGTGGGTGACCACAAGAAAGGGCACATAGCGAACACCGCAGTCTGATTACCCCGTAAGCGCTCCTTTCAGAGAGTGCAATGCGGTCTCCAGTTCAGCAGCAGGTTTGGAGGCATCTCAGGGTTGCATGGTGACATCATTCATCATTCCACCTCACACTAAGTAAAAGAAGATAGCCGTCGTGGGGTTTCCCCCAATGACACTGTACTCTCAGGTGGGGTAGATGGGGTTGCATGTCCTACAGCTCACTGCAGGAAGCATGCAAGCTCTCCTACAGCAAGGAGGCATGCCGTCCCGTGCCGCATGGGGAAAGGCAGTCCTATTGATAGTGCGCATCCCCAGATGCTCCACTTCCGCATGGATCAGCCTCATCTGCATGTCCCAGAACCCACTGCAGGAACCACGCGGCTGCTCCTCCCCGGCTCATCTCTGGCTTTCTTGGTCTCTGCTCAGGTGCCAATTATTCAGTGTGACTCTTCTGGGAAGATCTGAACAAACACCTTTTTCTTCCAGACTGGGCACCAACGATAGATCGAGAAACAATGTCACCTAAGTCTACTTTAGTGAACCAGTGAGTTCATGGGAGTGTCTGACTCAAAGATAGCTGTGTCC